CTAAAGTTAATCAGCAATTTCACCTGAATGTTTCACCATTTCTACAATCTCCATTTTAAAATACTCTTCCCGCCTGATTACATTTATAATGAAATAAAATCAAAGTATTAGAATCAATACAGAAGCTTTTTTGTTACTCGTTAATATTTTATGTTTTCATATTTTAAGTTAAATTATCTCTGAAGTTACGGAAGAATAACATCAACAAATAAACAGTTTTTGAAAGGTTTCATATAACAATTTACTCTTCTACATTACCATACTTCCCATTTGTTATATCCCGATAAGAATAATGAATGGTAACTTTTGGGATCCATTTATGGACCAATACTATGCATATATCTTATCGTATAATTGTTAAATAACCAAACTATTAATATTCATGTCCCTCTTATTATGAGCTTTATTTTGACCTTTGAACTATTATTATACGATTTACCTGTCTATCAATTACTATCTCCTTTATTCACAGACACATTTGGTTAAATATTGTACAAATGTTATTTCCTATTTTACGGTACAATGTAGTCTGTTTGGTTGATATATAAACCCAGTATGTTTGAAATATATGATTCATATCACAGAAGCTGAGATTAGTGTTCTGGACTTAACTGGCTGGGGTAGGCAGGAAGCAAGATCGATAACTACTCTAGACTGCCCGTACAGGTTTTATGCGTCATTGATCCGATCGATAATTCACTGTTCTTTAATTGGTGATATCATCACGTTATACATTAACAGGGCACACAGGTCACAAGTTATAACACCATTAGAATAAAAAAAAGAGAAAAATAATAACAAGAACAACAATAAATAGGAAAACTACATCTTAAACATTGCTTGTTCACACTGTTAACAATTCATAAAAGCAATTGAATAGCTAAATAATTTGTATCTGAACATTATTTTCACATAAAATTGTTTATCATTAAAGTGAATACTCTGTAAATGTTAAACTAAGTAGGCTTATCTATGATGTACATATTTCTTGTTATATTCATATAATATTACATGTTTATAAACTTTGTTTTTATAATTAAAAGTGTATAAAGAATGTAATAAAAATAACTGTCTATTTGATTAACATTTACATAATTATTGAAAGACTTTTGTAAATGACTTTTTTTCCAATAATTCAGCTAAGATTTGTAAATAAAGATTTCCCTTACTATTTTGATATAAAGAATTTTTGTATAAACATTAAATATATCTATAGTGAAGAAAAAAATGTCAGCTGAGTATATCGACGATGTTTTGGAAATAGGAGGCGTGCTTTTGTGTTCACATTACACCTGAATGAGAGATGTGGACACCAAGCCTCCTTTGCGTGTTTTAGACGTATGTGCTTTGGCACACACAGGTAAACTGGTAGTAACGTAACTGAAAGTAAAGTAAGCGGAGAACTATTCTGCACGTGACTGTTCTAATGAGCGATTCTTTTTATACAGAGAGATCATATTGGCAGATAGATACTTTCTTATTATTATAGCATCGTTGGGCACGTTTCACAGAACCTTAGACTGGGGAATTGTACATATTTATCAGTGAGACCGGACGTCATCAGCTTAACAGTGGTCATGGTGTCGATGTCTCTAAGTCCTTCAAAATAAATAATTAATAAACAAAGTATGTCGAATTTACTACGGTTTGCTGAAGCGATCTCCATAAAAAGACAAATTAAATTTCTGGATCTAGAAAAATCCAGTCGTTAATCTTGTCTTGCTATGGTAATCTCATTCATAAGTGTTTGTTGCGCAATTCTTCTTTTCATTATACTAATTATTAATTATCACTTCATATCTGGTCTGTACTCAGTCATTTAATATTTTTTAAGTTACATAGCTATGACATTAACATATTATTTTCAAATAATTCTGTTTCTATGTTCTTCGTTGTTTATTCTAAAATATCCCTATATTCAACCTATGAATATTCCTATTCTTCAACATATGAACAATTCATGTCGTTCTTACATACTTATTACTGTTTTTATTAATCTTCATAGATGACAACTCTGCCGACACTATGATATAAAGTATGTACACTGATCGTTATAGATTAAGAACATTATGCTAAGGTTGTAAGCGGTTGACGAAAAATGTGAAATATAATGAATTCACCTTATTCTGCTACATTAACTATCCTTGCTTTTGTCAAATATATAAATTGGAAAACTGTATGAGAAGAACTGGATTAATTAAGCATAAGTTAAAATCTAAGAACTTTCAATCTATTCATACAGAAGTTATACAAACAAGAAATATCATTCACTTGGTATTGTTTTACTTGAATCTTCCCATTGATGTTTTAGGACTGAAATTGATCAGTCTCTTATTGGCACATGTGCATATTGTGCGTATGCCTCGATATTGCCTTAATTTACAAGCATTATAAGAGACTGATCAATTTCAGTCCTAAAACATCAATGGGAAGATTCAAGTAAACCAATACCAAGTGAATTAAACTTCACCCCATTGCACAAGCAAGTGGCTATGAGGACTGAGTAGTAGCTGAGTGGATAACGCGATGGCGTTTGAAGCGAACGGTACTGAGTTCGAGTCTCAGAGTGAACATCAACTCTGAGATGCAGGTACATCCAGCTGACGAGTGCCAAACAGGACGAAACGCGCGTCCTGGATTCCACTGCTAGCCACTATCCATACTTGCTTATAAGAAATATAATTGTAATACTTCCTCTACTAAATAATCGAATCCATTTTACTGAGTTCAATATAACCTGGTTTTAAAATCAAACAGAAATGAACTCGCTGGTTATTTCTATGGTATGACATGTGAAGCCGATATTAACAATTTTATTTTTTACTTGTTAACATATTATTCTAGAATCTAATATATACTTAATTATATAGACTCAACTACTAGGTTGCTATAATATCCACAAAACCCCTCTCCGATTATAATTATCATATGCTTACTAGTGACTGGCTTCAAGAGGTATTTCCTCTAGTCCTAGTAAGAAGCAGTGACCAGTTGAGTTCAGTCGGGTCTGTTGTGTGATAGTAATTCACTGATGACAATGGTGGATGTGTCGCTTAATTTCGTGGATCATTTGAAATAAGACATTAACACCGTTAGATACCGGCTTGTTCAGTGGTCTAGAGGTTAAGCGTTTGTGCATACGACTGATAAGTTATAAGTTCGAATCTCGCGAGGTCAGATCTTGGACGTGCAGTGCTGAGGAGTCACATAGTGGGACGAAACGACAGTCCAGTGCTTCCAGGTTTTCCATGATGGTTTAGCTTCAATTGACTCATTAATTCAAATGTTATATTGCTATAATATTCACAAAACTTCACTCCAATTACAATACATGTATTTTTATGAAATGTTTTATGTCCAGATAAATTTGTTGATAATTTTGATTTCTGAATATAGTATGGATATCTATGATTATTTATATACTATTATGAATGCGAAAAAGTATTACAATGAATTGCCTTGATGAAACCAGGCTAATTACCAATAGACTAATTTATACATCGAACATGAAAATGAAATAAGCTGAAAACCATTTTATGGTTTATAAAAAAGTACTGAATGAATACTGAATTGTTTTTGTTTCATTAAAAAATGACCAGTAAAGAGATTGTGGAGATTATTATATTTTTGATTAAGATGAATGAGAATGACGTGAACATGTTTTAAAAGTAAAAAAAACCCAGGAATACAACAAACATTTAGAAAGTATATACCGCCTATCAACAAAATTGTTATATAATTAAATTTAAAGGAAGTATAAATGGACAATGTTTCACTACATGATCTATCGGTCTAGTTTCTTTAAATAGCACATTTTATTAGCGTACAGTTTAGTAGTGTGTCCATAATTGCATTTTATTATCGCATTTGAAATATTTTACATTATTATATTTAATCAGGAAGAATATAAGTAGTAAATATTATTATAATTTTGTATTATTGTAAAACTCTGAAATTTTGGACGATTTTTACATTCCAATGTCTTTTCGTTTATTCCACGTTTTATGTGCTTCTAAAAAAATAAGTAACAAACAAAGTGACTGATCAATCGCAGTCTTAAATAACAATTAGAAGATACAAATAAACAATATCAAGTAAATAAATAACAAACTAACTTAGATAATTGGCTATTTTATAAAGAATTAATAAATATCAGAAGAGGTTTTGTGGACATTGTAGTAATTTAAACAGTTGAGATCATGAGTCAATTGAAACTAGACCACCATGGAAAACCTGGAAGCACTGGACGGAGAATATTTACTACAATATGAGCAAAGTCACATAATCATGATTTAAATATGAATACAGGTTTTATATATTGAGAATTTAATTTTAGAAAAGTGTGTACAGAAAACTATTACCATATAATACTACTGTTAAAAAAATATATGAACTTAAGTAGTCATTTATTGTGACAATAAAATAAGTATTTTTTTCAGGTCAGAAAATGTTTTCCTTTGCTTGTAGAAAGTAAATCACGCTTTTTAACTGTTTATTAAGAACTATGAATTCGTGGGATTAAACACTTTGAGCAATGCTGTAAATAAAAGTATCCCAATCACTAGAAATGTTATATAAAAGTAACTTTTGAGATATTAACTCACTGAAGACAATGGAAGACGGTGGCACAATTTCGTGGATTGGTTGAATTTAGACATTAATATTGTTGGATGCCGGCCGGTTCAGTAGTCTAGAGGTTAAGCGTTCGCGCGTGAGACTGATAGATCCTGTGTTCATCTATTTGTAGAAAATAAATCACACTTATTAAATGTTTGTTAAAAGCTATGAATATGCGGGATTAAACACTTTGAACAATATTGTAAATAAAAGTATCCCAATCACTAGAATTGTTATATAAAAAATATAGTTCTGAATTTCTAGTTCAGAGTATTTATGTAAGCTTTATCACTGCTTTAGTATATGCTATATATTTATATTAAAAAATACACAGGTATTGTTAATTTGCTTTTAATTTTCTGTATTCACACTTTCTGTTGTAGACATGCAGTAAAATTATTGATCCATCCGAACAATATATGACATATAACGATAGAGCTTATCATAAGAATTGTTTTACATGTGCTGCTTGTCATCAAAGTTTGGCCGGCAAACAATTCTGTATCAAAGATAATGGATATTATTGTCCTGAACATGTTTAAGAATAAATGACTGATATGTTTTGTTTCAAATAATAAACAAATTTCAGAAATTAAAGTATGTAAGTGACTAGATGATTAGTTTTTATGTTGCTACATATAAAACATGACGTTTAATTTTTATATCAAAATTATCATTTCAAAATGACATGATAGTCAAAAAACAAAATCTTGAACTGTTTTTATAAAATATATTACTCAAATTATAAGATCTGACACACACTGTATAAAGTAGTATTTTTGATATGTCTTGTCCAAGAGAACGTACATAACGTCCGGCTTATTCGACGGTCCCAAAGTGCTTTCATGCTGCTGAATGATATTTAAAAATATAAATGTAATCAGTAAATGAATCGCAGCATCATTCTTTTAAATCTTGGCTTCTCTATATTTAGTAATTAAGCTAAAATAAATGTTCATTTACAAGGAAATCCTTTAGACAAGATTTGTTCCATAAAGCATTGTTCGGATCATGTTACTAAAGTAGATTACAGTATACTTCATAGTACTTACTTACTTACTTACTTACTTACGCCAGTTACTCTCAATTGAGCATAGTTCTATCTAATTCTTGTTCATTCTTCTCATGTCTGTCTCTATTTCTAGATGTAATGTGTTCTTTGGTGTTTCTCTTCTCCTTTGACTTCGAGGATTCTAAGTAAGGGCTTGCCTTGTGATGTAGTTCAATGCTTTCCTCAATGTCTGTTTTATTCACTTCCAGCGCCTCACCCTGGTTTCTTTCTTCGCTGGAATCTGGTTTGTTCTCGCCCACAGTAAGTTGTGGCTGATAGTTTCTGGTCAACGGATTCGAAGTATTTTACGTAGACAGCTGTCAATAAACACATGTATTTTCTGGATGATGGCTTTCGTAGTTCTCCAGGTTTCCGCTCCATACAGTAGAACTGTCTTGACACTTGTATTGAAAATTCTGACTTTTGTGTTGGTTGACAATTGTTTTGAGTTTCAGATGTTCTTCTTTTTCCTCGCCTTCACATTTGCATCAGATCAATGATGCTGCCTAGATATGTAAGGGTTTTTACATCTTCCAAATCTTCGCCGTCAAGTGTGAATGGATTGGTGCATGCTGTGTTGTATCGAAGAATCTTGCTTTTCTCTTTGTGTATGTTGATATGTACTGCTGCTGAGACTGCTGCTACACTGGTCGTCTTTTCCTGCATTCGTTGTTGCGTGTGCGACAGAAGAGCCAGATCATCTGCGAAGTCTAGATCGCCCAGCTGCATCCCAGCCCTCCATTGTATCCGATGCTTCATCATAACGTGCGGGAAAGCTATCTATATTTTTATGACTTCACAAAGAAAAATTTTATCTTGTAAACCAGACTGCTTAAATGGTATTTATTCATCAGTGTATAAAATCTTAATGAATAATCGTTAACAGAAATAAAAATATTGGGTCATAAGACGAACTTCTTGACTGTTAGATTCTAATCTAAACATGAAAACAGTGTCATAGTCATCTATGGTTCACATTTTCCATATAACAACTGAAGGTACAGAGGTATCTATGTACTTCCTTCCTTACGCCTGTTACTCCTCGTGGGGAAGCATAGGCTGCCCACCAGCACTCTCCATCCAACTCTGTTCTAAAGTATCCTTTCTAGGTGTTTTCGTTTATTAATCATTCTCTCGATGTTTGCTTCTGATTTTCTATGCAGTGTGTTCTTTCGTCTTATTCTTTTCCATTTCCCTTCAGGATTCCAAGTTAGGGCTTGTCTCGTGATGGAGTTCGATGATTTGCGTAATGTATGTCCTATCCAACTCCATTGTCTTTTCCTAATTCCCACTTCAACTGGAAGCTGGTTTGCTGATGGTATCCGGCCAACGTATATTGAGTGTCTTGTGTAGACAACTATTTATAATTACTTGTACTTTCTTGATGATGGTTGTAGTAGTTCTCCAAGTTTCAGTAGGACTGTCTTGACGTTTGTATTAAAGATGCTGACTTTGATATTGGTTAACATTTGTTTTGAGTTTTAAATAATTTTTGACTGCAGGAATGAGATCCTTACTCTACCAAACCTTGCCTTTACGTCTGCATCCGATCCTCCTTGTTCGTCAATGATGCTTCTCAGTTACGTGAAAAATTCTGCAACTTCCAGAGTTTTTCCATCAAGTGTGATTGTGTTGATGTTCTCCGTGTTGTATTCAAGGATCTTGCTTTTTTCCGTTGTGTATGTTGATGCCTACTGATACAGATGTTGCTACTACACTGACTGTGTTCATCTGCATTTGTTGGTGTGTATGGGATAAAAGTTCTTGGTCATCTATGAAGTCCAAATCGTCTAGTTGCATACAAGCTGTCCATTGTATTCCGTGCTCCTACTCAGATGTCAAGGTCTTCATAACGTAGTCGACTACCAGAAGAAAGAAGAAATGGGTATCTATATAGTAAGGGAATTATAAATTTTATTTATGTCATACAAAATCACAATAACGGCAAAAATATCAACCGGTACATTTTTAAAACACCCTGTATTAAATAATACCGGCGAGACTCTAATTTATGGACGACCTTTGAACGGATCTTAAGTGACCTTGAGAAATATTAGCCAATCAGCAAACAGCCAGTATAGAGTAAAAATGTTATGCAAAACTAAGGAAATAAAGTGGATGCACTTCTTATACGTGGTTCAAAAAATTGTCAAGGCTAGAAAGAGGCTCAGAGGTTCTAAAATCGTAATGCATGCAGTAGAGGAAATCATCCATACGGCTACAGAATAGTCGGTCTGTGAAGCCATGATAAACTCTTAAAAACCCTTTCAGCCTCGACCACATAGCTTCAACACCGTTTATGTGCACTCCGGTTGTTGAGTGCACAAAATGCGACTTATGTATAACGACACGATGCACACAACCACGCCTCTGTAAGGGTCTGTACGCTCTCCAAACATCCGTATATATATTGTAGTACCTGGCTGTAGCCAGTGTTACTAGTGCTTTTATTATCCAGTTCGCAATAATTGTCGTAATTTGCCTTAGTTAGGAATTATATATGGGGTTTTCATCACGAATTGACATCAGCTATAATGCCTAAAATCTGTTTAGCCAAATGGATGAAAGACATTCGTGCCCAAATCCGAGATCTTTTATCTTATACCTGATTGATTCGCCCACAAATTATAGTCCAGCCGTTTTGTTTGTTATAGCCTCTCAATTATCACGTTTTTGTACAAAATTCCCTGTAAACCGATCGTACATTAACATTAAGCACTGAAGTTGGCGCCGTAACCTTGAAATCTCTAAAACGCCCCTGACTGGCTCGTCTATAAATTAGAGTCTCGCCGTAATGCCATTTGAAATATTACTATTTTCAATGTTCAATAAACCAAACAATTAACTACTTATTAACTATTTCAATAATATTTTCATATAATTATTTGCATAATTTGTTTTGTTTGTTTGTTTTCTTAATTCTAGAAGAATTTCAAAATTATTCTTCATTTTAAATGATGATCTCTCTCGTTATTCACTTTCTCATTTTTTGTGATTATTCTTTTGAAAAAAAGGAATATATATATTTATCGTATATTGTTAATTCAATATAATTTACATTTTACAATTTCTGTATTTGAATTTGATTATTACGCAATAAGTCAATTATTATTATGATACATTATTGTTTGCTTATATGATTGGTTACACCATTTTTAAAATGATACAAATGAACCTTTTTGCACATTTACAATTTTCATCAATTATCTTTGTTATTTTCAAAACAAAACAATAAGTTTTCATTGGTCTTCTTTTTTGGATTAAAGTAGTTGAATTTTTGTTTTAATTTGAATGGATTTCTGTTTTTGTGTTTTTTTTTCTTAGCTTATTTACTACTGATATACTCATAATAATATAATCAACAGATACAGTAACTATCAAGTGTAAACATTTTTCTGCCTTAGTTACTGACAATTTAAAAATAGAAAATGATGTTCTTCTCTTCAATAAACGATGTGTCTATTATCAATAAGTGATTTAAAATAGAGCTCATAAATCATAACAACGAAATAAATGTCAACATTAGCATAGTTTCTAATTAACTGAATACAAATCAAAACTAGATATAAATAAATTCATGATTATTACATCTATTTTCTGAACAGCTATGATTTTATTTTATATATCCGAGAAAGAAAGCAAAAAAACATGAGTAGACGTTTATTGAAGTGATTAACTGAGTTGTTTCTTTTTTTTTGAATCTCAGCTTACGTTTTAAATCTTTCTTCTCAATTTTATGCCTTTGATTTATAAGAAATAAAAAATTAATAGAATGAAAAAAAGATGTTGTTAAAATGAAACTATTCAAACAATCTATCTATAGTGTATTCACTAATAACTACCATTATTTTCTATTCCATTTTACTAATGAATAGAAAGTATACAGTTACGTGTTTCTGATAGTGGTGGAGCTTCCGTTGTTCTTCTGAAAAAAAAATCATAAGCATAATGAGAACTCCATGAACAAACCATCTAGCTCAGAGAGTAAAATTTCACCTAAATCATTTACCTGAGCTATAAACCTACTCCACAATCTCAGAACTTGACAACTTATTAATAGCGTGTTCTAACATTAAACGATTTCTTTTCAGGAGAATAGAGATATACATCATATAATGCCTGTAACTAACAAGTACTATAATAAAAAAACCTATTTATATTTCATTCTTATAAGTAACAGGAAGTAAAAATGGTTTGAGTTTCATTTCTAAAACAAACAACTAGACAGTAAAATAACTGGTGATTAACTTTTACTATTAAAAGAACTGTTGATATATACTTCAGGAAATAGGTACACCAATAAGTATGTCCCCAATTTTCTAAGTTGACATGATAGTTGAAAAAACAAACTTCCTGTAAACATTTTTAGACTGAATGTTATAGAATTTCATAAACTGTCATTTAATTGTCTAAACAAGTTTTCAAAATTATTGGACATTTTCATAAACTGAGTAAACTTCATTCAATTAGCTCATTATGTAGTTCAATTGTTCAAAACATAGAATATTATTTAAATCATGTGAGAATAGCATTGGTCAAATATAGTCAGTGTAGTAACTATGAGGGAACAGTGGTAGGACTTTTTTCATAATAAAACTTACTATAAATCTCTTCTGTTCTACTAATAACCGATGAACATCACTTCAGTTAATGTAGTGATCGACATTACTCAGTCACAGGAAATTAAATATACGATACAATAGCTAGTTTTCTCAAGAATGCTGTTCTGACCTCGGTGATATATATTTAAGGTTGCTATTTTGAGAAAATAACCTCTTGTAAGCCATTTACGTTAATATCAGAATCCCTTAATCACCATGATAAATTCAACATTGGACTAAAGTAAAAATGATTATTATCCCATACTACGAAGTTTTTAGTTTATTGTCAATCAATCAGTTACGATCTTCTAATTTATGACAATCCATATCATCACGGTAGACATTATATTTCAATCATTCAGTCGAACGTTTACATTCAAAGACTGAAAGCTATTAAAAACAAGACCAATTTCAACGAATATTTGATTTTCATTAGTAGTATATACCTATTACTGTTCAAAGAATTCAACCAACCGGATTATAATTGGCATTTAAAAACAGATTACGTATTTTCATTATTAAAAAAATAGTAACTCATCTTATTTACATTGAACTGGTTTACTTTGCAATTCACAAACATGGAACATTTAAAGAAAAAAAATTACTGTTAAGTTTGGAAATTATTAAAAAGATAATAATATCATAGACCAAATATGAAGTGACAAGCCAATCAAATGTAAAACATGTAAGATGTTTTTATTGTATTTCTAGTTTTTTTTTAAGAGACAAATACGTTTAATGGGATACATGAATTTTTACAAGTATCAACGTCTTCTAAACTTCTGGTAATCTAATGTAGTCGAAAGAAAGAAAAAATAGTACTGTAAGCAAGTTAAAATTGAAATTCTAATTCATTACTACCACATAAATGTTAAATATATTTTTAGTTTCAAGGCATTTGATATTTATGAAGTAAAAATTAGCTGTTAATAATCGTCATATGCTCACTAATGACTGACTTCAACAAGTATTCAGTGGAGTTCTAGTAAGAAGCCGTGACCAGTGAAGTTCGACCGGGTCTGTTGTGAGATAGTAACTCACTGATGACAATGGTAGACGGAAGTGAGATTTCGTGAACTGATTGAAGTTACAAATTAACATTGTCGGATGCCGAACGGCTCTAGATGTCTAGAAGTTAAGCGTTCGTGCGCGAGACCGATAGGTCCTTGGTTCGAATCTCGCAAGATGGAATCGTGGGTGCACATTGCTGAGGAGTCCCATACAAGAAGGAAACTGCTGTACAATGCTCCCAGGTTTTCTATGGTGGTCCATCTCTAACTGACTCATCAATTCAACTATAAAATTTCTAAAATTTCCACAAAACCACCTCCTGTTACTGCCTAACTCATGACAGGTTTTCATGAATTCTCTCCAACAGAAAGAAAATACTTTAAAGGAAAAAAACAAGTTCTGACATAGTTTGAACTAACTTAGTAAAAGAAATCCAACCAGATCTAAAAGAGTGGAGTTTACGACATTGATTACAGTAAAAGTTAAAAAAACATAATAAATATAGTTAGAAAAAGACCTAAACGAATAGAGTGGAACAATGCCCAAATTCAAGATTCAGATATAGAATAAATAAAAATTCAGGATTCCGATCGGTTATGCATAATGTATTTCAACATCCATAAGTCGTTATTACAATTATAATTGAAATGTTAACCAAAGTTTTATTCTATCAACTTTTATTGATCGTAGTTGATACTTTATCCTATTTCTACTGACCCCATGCCAATCGGGATCACAAGCTGACGTACTGATTAAATAAGGTTCCATAAAAAACACATCAACTTTCTTCTTTTGGGAAAGTACATAGTATTATCATTCCAAATCGCATTTCTACATAAAACACTGTTCCTAACCTCATAGACAAAGTTTTTCGATTATATGTGCAACCTATTGATCTTCTCTTTCTTCCTGCATCATGTTCTAACATCACAAGGCAACGTAAATGGAACAGAAACACAGTATTCTACTACAATCTGTAAATCTGTGGTGTGATTTTGTGAACCACTAGTTCACCATAGCTAAGAAGATTACTTCGAAATCAACCAGCTAGTGAACTTCATCCTCATTTACACCAACTGTCTGTCGAACGGACTCCCATCAATAATCCTTTAATAAGTTTCATCTGATTATTGGATTATTGTTAAGGATGACAATAAGCAAGAAATCTTAGTTTAAAGATATTTACACTAGCCAAGACGTATTTGTAATACAGCTACTATTTTTATTAAGATCATGAAATGAACAATGTTTGGCTACCACTGAAAATCTGAAAACACTAAACAACCGTGTCGTCATAGTATGCGACTCCCTAATAGTGTGCACTCACGATCTCGCACGTAGAAATCAAAATCAAGTATTTCAGTCCCTTACATGAATATCTAACCTCTAGACCTCTGAGAAGATATGTCTAACGTCAATAAATCTACGATAATGCACAACTATCTTCGATTGTCTGAAGTGGATAACTGTCTTACACTCGATACTGGTAGTCTAAAATTGATTGATTCATGATCTTAATAAAAAAACTTCATATCTACACGGCCCTAGACTAACAAATATTGGTTTTCATACACTTTGTTCTAAATCTAATGACAACAGTTAAGCAATTACTTCTTTCATTTGGGATGATAAATGACAATACCATTTAATGTATCCAACTACCATACTACATGAAAATGTTTTTTTTCTAAAACGAAAAGGTCATTTATTAAGCACAAATTCAATTTATCAGATTCAAGATATTCTTGTAAATATCTTATATAAATCAACAGATATTATCGAACACATAAATGACATTCCGATATTTGTTTTTTTGTTCATATTTCACTGAAAACCAGTTGATAAGTGTCAAAACAACATAAAAACTCTATTTCATTCCATAGATGTTTTAACCACACACACACACACACACAAAAATCTTTAACTAGTGACATAATGAAAAAGCATGAAAATTTCCCTAAATATCTGAAAATTGTGTAAATCGACAAATAGACTACCTAGACATGATGACTAAAAGTTATTTGTACGGTTTATTATTGTTATTTGTTGCTTCAGGTGTTTACTTTTCCCATAATAATAATAATAATACTGCCTCAACATATTGATAAATTACCACACATCATAGCTTAGTGTAAAACAAAATTGTTTCTCTCATTGATTTGAAATAACATTTTAAGAAAGTAATTCAGTCATTCAAAATCTTAACAGAAATTGTTGTATGTACTGATCTTCCCATGTGCTGAAGAGAAAAAGAAAGATGATGTCTTATTATTAGTTACAGTATTTATATTCAATTTCATCTATTCACACAAATGATTAGACAATAACTGAAATCACTAATTGCTA